AATAAAATCTTTAAAAATAAATAAATAAATAAATAAAAATGGGCAGAGAACCTGAATAGACATTTTTCCAAAGAAGACATACAGATGGCCAACAGATACATGAAAAGATGCTCAACATCACTAATCATCAGGGACATGCAAATCAAATCCATAATGAGATATCACCTCACACCTGTCAGGATGGCTCAAATAAAAAAGACAAGAAATAACAAGTGTTGGTGAAGATGTGGATAAAAGAGAACCCTTGTGCACTGTTGGTGGAAATGTAAATTGGTGCAACCAGTATGGAAAACAGTATGAAGCTTCCTCAAAACATTAAAAATGGAAATATCACATGATCCAGGAATTGCACTATTGAGTATTTACCTAAAGAAAATGAAAACACTAGCTAGAAAGGATATATGCATTCCTATTTATTTCAGAGACATCTATAACAGCCAAAATACAGAAGCAACCCACATGTCCATCGATAGATTAATGGATAGAAAAGATATGACATGTATGCATGTATGTACACACACACACACACATATTAGTCATAAAAAAGAATGAAATTTTGCCATTTATGACAATATGGATGGACCTAGAGGGTATTATGCTAAGCGAAATAAGTCAGACAGAGAAAGACAAATACCATATGATATCACTTATATGTGGAATCTAAAAAACACACCCACAAACAAACAGACTCAGAAATACAGAGAACAAACGTGGTTAGTTGCCAGAGGGAAGGGCGGATGCGCAAAATAGGTGAAGGGGATTGAGAGGAACAAACTTCTGGTTATAAAGTAAGTCACAGAAATGTAAAGTATAGCACAGTGCATACAGTCAATAATATTGTAATAACCTTGTGTGGTAATGGATGGTGACTACCCTTATCATGTTGAGCACTAAGTAATGTATGGAACTGTCAAATCACTATGTTGTACACCTGAAAGCAATATAACATTATATACCCAGTATACTTAGATAACAATGAATATATAAATAAAACTTCTTGTGGCTATTGAAAAAGATATATTCCACTTTATCTATAGTTAACTTATCCTTACTTAATAAAATAAGCCAAAGATCTTACCATCTGAAATACATCAGAGCCTTCATCAAAATCCACCATAGCAAAAAATATCCTGTTGGTAAATGCACTGGAGTATCGCCAGGAGTTTGCCAGGATCTGGAATTCTTCATCAGCTTGCCTGGATACAATCAGATTTGTGAAGATAACATATAAAACACTTTTAAAAGCAATCTAATTTATCAGCAGTAAAACAGAGCCAAAGAGGGGCGCCTGGGTGGCTCAGTTGGTTGGGCGACTGCCTTCGGCTCAGGTCATGATCCTGGAGTCCCTGGATCGAGTCCTGCATCGGACTCCCTGCTCAGCGGGGAGTCTGCTTCTCCCTCTGACCCTCCTCCCTCTCATGCTCTCTATTATTCTCTCTCTCTCTCAATAAATAAATAAATAAAAATCTTTAAAAAAAAAAAAACAGAAACGAAGCAATAGCAGTTTTTCCAATTGGGGAAATATTTTGAGAGATATAGAGACAGAGACAGAGAGGGAGAGGGAGAGAGAGAGAAACAAACACCAGTCAGGTTCTGCTGACAAGGTTAGGACAAACCTTGGAAAATATTGCCATTGTTTTGGCATAAGAGAAGCCTTATCCTAAGTGTTGGGGATTTCAACAGAAAGTAGTTACTTGACTAAGCTTCACACTTTCTGCTTGTTTCTTATCTCAAAGCTCTTTAAGTAGTCATTGGTAAAATCCAGCTGTCTGTACAACAATTTTTTTTTAAAGATTTTATTTATTTATTTGAGAGAGAGAATGAGATAGAGAGAGCATGAGAAGGGGGAGGGTCGGAGGGAGAAGCAGACTCCCTGCTGAGCAGGGAGCCCAATGTGGGACTTGATCCCGGAACTCCAGGATCATGACCTGAGCCGAAGGCAGTCGCTTAACCAACTGAGCCACCCAGGTGCCCCAACAATTTTTAATACCCTAAATTTAAGTGTTCAAAGACAAGGTTTAAGTATTTCCAGAGAAAGTAGACTATAATAGTAACCCATTTTATAAATCTAACATATAACATGCTATTACTTAGTAAATAAAAATACAGTCAAATGAATTATTAGGGTGAAAGATAAAAAGAATCTAGGGAATTGAGATTAATTGAAACCTCAAGTCATGTTTGACTTTTTCCTTATTGCCCGTATGCTTTCAGTTTCCAAGATGTGATAATTCTTCATTTGTGATTATCTTTTAACTCCAACCCTTCCCATTTATTTATTTTTTAAGATTTTTATTTATTTATTTGACAGAGAGAGACACAGCGAGAGAGGGAACACAAGCAGGGGGAGTGGGAGAGGGAGAAGCAGGCTCTCCGCTGAGCAAGGAGCCCGATGCGGGGCTCGATCCCAGGACCCTGGGATCATGACCTGAGCCGAAGGCAGACACTTAACCGACTGAGCCACCCAGGCGCCCCACCTTCCCATTTATTTTTATTGCTATCAGCTAAAGGCAGATGTTTAATATCTGACATTAGAATATTAAAATACTGACTCTAGTGTCTCCTCTTCCAATCATTCTTATGCTGCAATATACATCAGTCTTCTTAAATTACTACTTTTTTGAAACTCCTACTCTTCTCCGAAGCCATTGTTGTTTTTCTACTACCTTCAGAACAGTCTCCACGCTTTTTCACTGGTTATTCAAGGTTCTTTATCATCCAGTTCCAATAAGGCATCTAACTTTTACGTAGCCTTACTACTAATCAATATAAAACAGGATCTCTTAATTCCAGCATTTTATTTACCACCATCTCTGTGCCCTTGCACACATCTTTACTTCTAACCAAAACATCCCACTTCTATCTAAATCTGATCCATCTGTATAGCCCTAATACAAATCCTTTCTTCTCCATTAAACCAACCCTAATCTTCCTGTTATATGTCCTCCCTGAAATTTTATAGTATTTATTATGCACATAACCCATTTGGTACTTAGTTATAAATTGCCTTATATTGCCAGCTAAATTTTCACGTGTGGAACTCATTTCCCTAGCCATATGATAAGGTAGGGCATCTTATACTTCTCATCCTGATAGCACCAAATATATAGTATTATACACATTGCTGTTAATTTTTATTTTTTGAATGAGTTTAGGAAAATGCGATCTAATTTTAAATTCGGTCTTATAGAAAGTAAGATACTAATAAAAACTTAGGTTAATAATAAATGTCATTAATTTGCATTTAATACAGAATTATGAAGGAGTTTGTGTTTGTTCCCTAACATTTTTGTATACTCCTGATTGCTGAAATGACTAAATTGTGATTCTAGATTTTAAGTTTATGCATAATTAATACCTACTATCCAGCATATGTACTCAAAAATAAGTACTCTGGGATCAAATACCTTGACTATCTCCTACCTCTGAGGGGAAAATCCTTTAAGAAAAGTTAGCAAGTCTTGGGGTAACGTAATGCATATTCTAAAAAAAAACTGTCTAATCCTTCACATGGACCCACAGGCTGTCAGAACTTGGAAAGCCTTCAAGATTTTACTAAATTGGTTCTTCACCAGGTAGCTCTGTCATTTTATTTAACGTGAATTCCCAGATCACACATATTGATCTAAAAATATAAGTTAAAAAAATACCAAAAAGCAAAAGCTATTCTATTTTTTAGTACCCACTACTTTAAATTTTGTTTTAAAGAAATATAGTCCTGGGACACCTGGGTGGCTCAGTTGGTTAAGCATCTGCCTTCAGCTCAGGTCATGATCCCAGAGTCCTGGGATCGAGTCCCATATTGGGCCCCTTGCTCAATGGGGAGCCTGCTTCTCCCCCTGCCTGCTGCTTCTCCCTCTGCCTGCCGCTTCCTCTGCTTGTGCTCGCTCTTGCGCTGTCTCTGACGAATAAATAAAATCTTTTTAAAAAAAATAAAATAAAGAAATATAGTCCTTTTGTTTAAAGAAATATCAATCTTTGTTCCTAAGATTACTCAAACAGTAAAATAAAATCAATAAACCATTGTTTGATGAAAGTTTAAATGAGATTAGTCTCCATTTCCAAGGTTTTCAATCACTACAAAATAATCTAGAAAAAAGAAAACATCTCTAAATCATACATCTTTATTTTCTAAAAATGTTCTCCTGTAATTCCAAATTTGGATGTAGCTACCATTATTGCATTAATAATTATCTCTAGCTTTGCATAGACCCGTTAAAAGATTTTGGAACCTATTTCTTCATAAATGAGAGAATAATTGCTTTACTTACCTTCTGGGGTTGTTGTATAAAATAAGAGTATGAAACTGAAAGCACTTACAAATAATAAAATACTACATCAATCCTACTGGCATACATTTATATAAATTGATACCAATTTATATGATGATTATTCAGTTTTTAAGTTATTCCTATCATGGCTACCACAATACTTTATCCTTGCTCTTTGTTCCCCCGACTAATGTGGAAACCAAGAAATGACTCTAAGAAAGGGCAGCATGTGTTACTACAGACATCCTAAGTAAGGTATATACAATAATTGTTTATGTGCCCACTGAACTAATTTGGTTCTTCTGGGATTGAGAAACAGTTAAAATCTAATGTTACTTAATTTTAAAGTGTAGTTGAAAGTTCATACTTGCACACGACACACTGTCTGTGAAGTTGGAGAGCAGTGAACATGACAATAACGGAGTAGTTTCTTGGTGGGGCTTTAACAAGGCGACGGAACTTGTCTCCATTCATTCTTATTACAGGTCTTTTATTGGTCCATTCCATCAGTTGACTAACCTTTTCTGATAACACCATCTAAAAAAAAAAAAAAAGGAAGGAACGTGGTGTTAATGCTCTTAGCATGGCATTTGAAGTTTCTTTTAACTAGGCAACTTACCTAAAACCAAGACTAACACGTAGAGATACACAGAAAATGTGAGAAACCTAAAAATAAAATCTGATAATTGGGCCTGATAATGATAATTATTCTTAAAATTCTATTATTCCATGATGAGATTTAATCATATACTGCCCTGTTGATGTGAATTATTTATTTATACTAATAAATAAAATATAAAATTATAAAACCTTTCATTTGCCAAAGATTCCAAAGAATGTTGAGTTAAACCAGTTAGTTTTGTACACGATTTTGCTTCTTAAAACCAAAACAAAATAAAAACAAAACACACCTATAAAGAAACTGGAGTAGTTGAAACAATCTTGAAAACAAAGAATAAAATGGGAGGATCACTCCTGATTTTAAGGTTTACTATATAGCTATAATAAGCAAGGCAGAGTGGTACTGATGACAGAATAGACTCAGATCAATGGCACAGAAACAGATCTACATTAAGTATAGCCAACTGATTTTTCACAAAGGTGCAAAAACTCAGTAAAGCAAGGCTAGGTTTTCAACAAATAGTGCTGGTGCAATGGGACATCCATAGCCAAAAATAGGAATCTTGAACTAAACTTCATACTTTATACAAAACTTAACTCAAACTGGATTACATAAACATAAAAATGAAAACTATGAAAATTTTAGAAAAAAAGAAAAAAGGGGCACCTGGCTCGCTCAGTCAGTGGAACATGTGACTCTTGATCTTGGGGTTGTGAGTTCAAGCCCCACACTAGGCATACAGCTTACTTAAAAATTTTTTTGTTTAGGAAAAAGATTAGGAGAGAACATTTAGGATCCTGGGGTAGGGAAAGAGTTCTTAGACCTGAAGCCAAAAAGCATGATTCATAAAAAAGAAAATAAAAAGATAACCTCACCAAAATTAATTTTTTTTTCTCTAGAAAAGACCATCTTAAGAGGAGGAAAAGAGAAGCTACAGAGTGGGAGAAAATATTTTCAAACCACATATCTGACAAAAGATAAGTAGTGATATTTTTAAAAACTATCAAAACTTGGGGTGCCTGGGTGGTTCAGTCGGTTAGGCATCTGACTTTTGATTTCAGGTCAGGTCATGATCTCACGGTCATGGGATCGAGCCCCATGTTGGGCTCTGTGCTCAGTGGGGAGTCTGCTTGAGATTCTCTCCCTCTTCCTCTGTCCCTGTTCATATGCACGTGCTTGCTCTAGTAAATAAGTAAATAAAATCTTTAAAAAAAAAGATTTTATTTATTTGAGAGAGAGAGAATGAGAGCAAGAGAGAGAGAGAGCACGGGGGGGGGAGGGTCAGAGGGAGAAGCAGACTCCCTGCTGAGCAGGGAGCCCAATATGGGACTCGACCCCGGGACTCCAGGATCGTGACCTGAGCCGAAGGCAGTCGCTTAACCCACTGAGCCACCCAGGCGCCCATAAGTAAATAAAATCTTAAAAAAAAAAAAAAGAAATGGAACTTGTTTTTCCAGGAAGGGAACAGAAACATGGATTCTAAAAATGCATGATTTACCTTTAAAGCATGGCTAAATTCAGCCAGTACTGGAAAAAAAAAATATTTCCTGAGTATACCTATGAACAACATAAAAAGAATGCACAAAAATTACTTTTGTAGCAGATTCAGAATAATTCTGGTAAGAGTCATAAAATGAGTATGTCACAAATGGAAAACCAAATATAGACTCTAAGCCCATAGAGAAATATATACACTCTCAAAAGATTAGTATAACAAATAATTAAAAGATTTGGGGAACAATGATACTGAGGAAACAGATCACTCTAAACCAGGGTTTTACAACAGTGGCAATACTGACATCTTGAGCCAGATAATTCTTTGTTGTCTGGAGTTGTCCTGCACATTGTAGGATGCTGAGCAGCATCCCTGATCTTCAGGCACCAGATGCCAGTAGTACCCCTACCTTCAGCTGCCACAACCAAAAATGTCTCCAGACATTGCCAGATAACCCCTGGGAGCAAAATTCCCATCCTCCCTCATTGAGAACCACAGTTTAAACTGAAAAGAATTTTCACAGTATGATTTAAGTTTTTATCATCTTATTATGTATCCAATTTTTTAATTCATTACTGATCAGAACACAATATAAAAGAAAAATGTGGCGATAAAGTAAACCAAAACTTCCCAGAGCAAGCCCTCAGCATAATGGGTAATAAACTTTCTAGACCAATGTTTCTCCAAGTGTGGTTGGTATAAAGGAGCTTGTTAGATGTTAAGACTTCCAGGTTTCATCCTCTAGTAAATTTGATTCAGTAGGTCTACAGTAGGTTCCGAGAATACGAAATTTTAACAGGTAACCCAAGTGATTCTTTATATATACTGAAGTTTCAGAACTACTGCTATACATTCTCATTCTTATGGGTAGGGACTACATGTTATATAAATATCTATGTATAACACAGGGAAATTAAATAAACATTAAGCTATTCAAATGATAAATAAGAGGGAAAAATATATCATTCCTAATAATAAACTGCTACTTGATCTTCCTGGAATGACTGAGGAATGTGATATATTTTAGATAACTCAAATATAACATCTTAATAATTGAGACACTTTTAAAAAATTCCAGTAGAGTTAATATACAGTGCTATATTAGTTTCAGGTGTACAATACAGTGATTCAACAATTCTTTTTTTGTGATTCAACAATTCTATACATTACTCAGTGCTCATCAAATTAAGTGTACTCTTAATCCCCTTCACCTATTTTTTTTTTTTCAGATTTGTAAAATCCTGTATTTTTTTCTTTTATTTTTTATTTTTTTCCCCTTCACCTATTTCACCCATCCCCCTATCCACCTCCCCTTTGGTAACCACCTGGTTTGTTCTCTATAGTTAAGAGTCTGCTTTTTGGTTTGTCTTTTTTTCCTTCGTTTGTTTTGCTTATTAAATTCCACATATGAATGAAATCATATGGTATTTGCCTTTCTCTGACTTACTTCACATAGCATTATACTCTCCAGTTCCATCCATGTTGTTGCAAGTGGCAAGATTTCATTCTTATGGCTGAATAATATTCTATTGTATATATATATCCATATTTATCCATTCATCTATCAATAGACACTTGGGAGGCTTCCATAATTTGGCTATTGTAAATAATGCTGTGATAAACATAGGGGTGCATATATCCTTCTGAATTAGTGTTTTTGTATTCTTTGTGTAAATACCCAGTAGTGCGATTACTGGATCATATGGTAATTCTATTTTTAATTTTTTGAGGAACCACCATACTGCAACAGTGGCTGCACCAGTTTGCATTTCCATCAACAGTGCACGAGGGTTCCTTTTTTTCCATATCCTCGCCAACCTTTTGTTTCTTGTGTTTTTCATTTTAGCCATTCTGACAGGTGTGAGGTGACATCTCATTTATGTTTTGATGTGCATTTCCCTGATGATCAGTGATACTGAGCATCTTTCCATGGAGAGATGTCTATTTTTAATTGGATTGTGTTTTTCTGGTGTTGAGTTATAGAAATTCTTTATATATTCTGGATACTAACCCTTTATTGGATATGTAATTTGCAAATATCTTCTCCCACTCCATAGGTTGCCTTTAGTTTGCTGATTGTTTCCTTCGCTGGGCAGCAGCTTTTTATCTTAATGAATTCTGAATAGTTTATTTTTGCTTTTGTTTCCCTTGCCTCAGGAGACGTATTTAGAAAAATGTTGCCAAATGTCAGACACATTTTCTAGACATATCTAGAAAAAAAGGCCAATGTCAGAGACTTTACTGTCTGTGCTCTTCTAGGGTTTAATAGTTTCAGGTCTTACATTTAGGTCCTTAATCCATTTTGAGTTTATTTTTGTATGCTATGTAAGAATATGGTCCAGTTTTTCCAACACCATTTGTTGAAGAAACTGTCTTTTTCCCATTGCACATTCTTGCATCCTTTGATGAAGATTAACTGACCATGTAATTGTGGGTTTGTTTCTGGGGTTCCTATACTGTTCCATTGATCAATGTGTCTATTTTTGTGCCAGTGCCATACTGTTTTGACTGTAGCTTTGCAGTACAACTCGAAGCCTGGAATTGTGATACCTCCAGCTTTATTCTTCAAGATTGCTTTTTCTATTCAGGGTCTTTTGTGGCTCCATACAAATTTTAAGATTGTTTATTCTAGTTCTGTGTTAAATGCTGTTAGTACTTTGATGGGGATTACATTAGATCTACAGATTGCTTTGGGTAGCATGGACATTTTAACATTATTTGTTCTTTCTTTTTTTTTTTTTTTAAAGATTTTATTTATTTGCGAGAGAGAATGAGAGACAGCATGAGAGGGAGGAGGGTCAGAGGGAGAAGCAGACTCCCTGCTGAGCAGGGA